TACAGTATAAAATACAGTATAAAGCAGCACAGTATAAAACTTTTAAGTAGCTCCAAACATCTTAGTTTCTTTTATGGAGCGAACTTAAGTTGGGAAACGGCTTGATAGAATTTGTCATTTAAAAAACCTTGAGGATGCAGTAAAACAATCATTTTCACCGATGTTGTTTCAGTCTAATTCTTGTTTGGTAGGCGTAGACATTTGCTTAAGCTATGTTTCAGGAAATTGTCCGAATTTTACGTCCGAAATTCGCCCAAAACTAGATAAAAAGTTATTGTCCGAAAATTAAACGTGCGAAATAAATCATACGAAAGTTTAACGTCCAAAATTCTTTTATAAGTAATATAGTACACACGCAGGCTACCCATAACACCGATTACAATCATTGTGTTCTTATGGAACAGATCCTGGACGTTGTTGCATTGCAAGTTTGCCTTGAAGCTCTTAGCCCATCCGCTGAAATTTTGCTGAAGCCGGAATCTAGGCGAGCTTGGTGTGACAAAGTATTGTCCATCAGACCAGCAGTGGAAGACATGATGAGAAAAGAAAGGTTTGGACCCGTTACAGAGATGAGCTCAAACTACGGAGAGAAATCCACAGTATTGCTTGGTCAATGCAGGTAATTTGGCATTTATACAGCCCTGCCGTCGAGGGAGGAATAAGTTTAAATTACTATCACTTTTTAATCGAGGATAAAAGTTGTTTCGTGTTGATTATTTGATTGATTGAGGATTTTTGCTTTTTGGTGTTCCGCTTTTCCTGTCTATTCCTACAAATCTCGGGATTGTAAATTCTTTGGGTATTCATCTGTTTAGTCTAGCTTTCACGGGGTGTTAGATGTTCACTTCATTTTCTGTGTGCTAGATCCATGTGGCAACGAGAAGGAGCTGTCAGACTGTTTGTAGAACACGTGACCTTGTTTGACGAGCAAGATGAGAGTGTGGTCAGACTATGGAAGGTATAAGTTTTGTTATGTGTTAATTAAAGGCAAGCACTCAAACAAACATCGTAAAAAAACGGTCAGTCTAGGTAGATGCTCACAGCGCGCGGAGACACCTTATATTCATTTACCAATCTCAACAACAACAACAACAACAAAAGCAACAAACTTATTAAACACGATAAAAATATCAGCAAATGAAATAGGAAATTTACATACTTTATTAACTGTCTCACATATTTTCCATGTGGGAGCTCGAGGTGGTAAACCGTTTGTTGATATGTTTTTTTAAAGAGATTAAAAAAGCTAGCGGCTCTAGCTTCCTCCAGAGGAAAGCTCCACTGTGGTAAAAGGTGCGTTTTAGGTTGTCAGGTGTTGGCCTAGGTTAGGTTAGTTTATGGGCAACGTCGCGGAAGTCAGTACGGATGTCAAAACGATAACTAGTGCAAGCTTGTAGCTTGTTAGTAGTCTAAATACCATACAGCCCTTTTGGCAGAGAGGAGGCCAGCCAAGTGAATTGAGAAGAAGTCTTGCTTCTTGACGGGTCATTTGAGGTATTCATATAAGGTTAAACTAAACATAAATGCTCCCTTTAATCAGCGAATATCACTTACAAACGAAAATGAACATTGTTAATCGCTTCTTTTCTTGATTGATCAGGCTTTGGGAGATGAAACTGACTTTTCGTCGCTGAGATCTCTGCAGACTATTGAGAAATTTCTAATCAGCCTCAGTGAAGACGTCCAAATAAGGTAAGATGAATAAAACCATTATAACGGCAATAAGCCATGCAGAGTTATCTTTATAGTTTTCAACATGTCAAAGTCTTTTTTCTGTTGCGCATGGTGCAATATAACATAGTTTAATCCTTGAAAGCATGAGCATTATTATGCCTTATGGATATAAAAACCTCGGATCTTACGGTAACTCTTCGCATGGTGTCGAAATTTACGTCACTGCCAAAGGCATATCATAGTGTTTATTTAAGCCATTACAGCCTAACTTCTTTTGATGGCTATGACCAGACTTTGTATTTATTTATTTTTTACTGGTAAAATGTAGGATAAGGCCTTGATCACAATTTTGCATAAGAGAAACGTTTTATTTCTGAAAGGATAACGGCGCATTTTCTTGATTTTCTTAATAGGGCCGATGAAAGTACCACTTCCGAGTTTCGACGCCGCTGCAACGCCTTTTTTATGGAGCTAGTGTCCATATTTTGTTTTGGTGACTCAGCATCTAAAGACTTGGAACAAGAAGCTATTTCCCTTCTTATGCGTTATGTTATCGGCCGCCAGTCAACTCAAACAAAAGATTTCTCGCCGTTTCCCGACTATGGTATCGACCCCACCCCTGTGGTGCGTTCTTTTCTCCTCCAACAGCTCCTCCGTTCGAGGTAACCACACGTAACTAGTGATATAAGTAAGATATCATGTACTGCATAAGACGTCTGACATCTGCTTTCAAAATATGCAGTTTAGTAGAAGCTAGATTTAGAAAAAGCGTGGTTTAACTAAGTTTTTTTTCCTCTTTGTTTCCACTCCTTGTTTTACAGCACAAAGGTGGTGAAAGAGCATTTGGAAATTTTCTTGCAAGAGGCTCAAGGCTTGAATCCAGAACCCCAGCACATTAAAGAGGTCTGCTTTTTGTACGTGCAGTGTATGGAGGTGAGTTGTAGACGTATGAACCCAGAGAGATAGGAAGGATAATAGCGCTATGTTACCACAAGAAGCTCTTTCTTCGGTGAATTTGGACAGTAATATATCAAACAGGAGGAATCGTGTTTTACAATATTTCCAGACACCGAGAAGAGAGTTGCAAATACGACACGCAGCGGAGTATTTCTGATGAACTTTGAGGTGTTTGAAAGTGTGGTGAAACACTCTCAAGAGTTTGATATATCCCCTCAATCGACTCAAAAACTAAGAAGAAAGCGTGAAAAATCTATACTGAATAAGATCAGGCATCCAAACATCTTCATGATTATGATTTCCTTTGTTTTAACTTGATGAGATCACGTCACTCCAATATTTCGTGAGCTTGTAATTATATTTGATTTTGCATTTTGTTTTCAAAAGTATACTTCTTACTCAGTTAAGCCTTGCAGTCAATTCAGTGAAATGTAACTTTATTTTTACTGTAACTTTGTTTTTCTTTTCCCAGGACATTCTAATAAGCCGGTACCAATCCAAAGTGGCCGATTCGAAGTTGACAGTAAAACTCAAATATGCCAAAAAGATTTGCGATGAGGCATTTAAAGCTCTCACAGGCAATGAAGAAGGTTCGTTTGAGATAGACGCAAACGCACTGGAAGGTGTCGCAAAAGGACGTTACGTCCTATCACTCGTAGCAGACTTCCTTTACAAGTGGTTTATTGAAGGAGATAGTAGCTATACTAAAGACCTTGATGTTGAGAGAGAAGCTGGCTACCTACTTGATTCTGCTAGAAAGCTTTGCATGGAAGGTTCAAGCACCACGCCGCAGCTCTACCTTCTTAAACAGCTTGTCAGACGGTATGGTTTTGACTGCGTTCGCACTATGGGTGGCTATAAGGAACTAGAGTGGATTCTTCCACCAGAAGCTCGACAGCAGGTAAGTAAATTGGCCACTATGAATAGCACAAGAATTGACTCCCAGATTTTGTGGATATAATGTAACAACTCTGTCCTTCGCTGTTTTGAAAATGACTCCCATTCAATATTTTGGAGAGTTCTTATGGAAGCATTAGAAAAGCCGAGGCTAATTTGATTTTTCACAATTTGTACAATTTCCTATGATAAAGATCAATTTGAAAAACAAACTGAAGAACACTTTTTGAACATGACTCCCACTCAGTACTAACCTGCGATCAGGCGTTTTTTTGAAAGGGAGAAAAAAAATGATGAGATGTAGGGAGGGAGGGTATGATCGCAGGTTAACTCAGTACTTGGGATTAGTTCCTATGCAAGTGCTAGAAGAGTTTAGTCGAAAAATCGAGGACAAAGTCCGTAAACGATAACAGTACCGACCATATTTCAGGGATCAACTGATCATGAACAACGGCTTTTGTTTTTAGGAGGATGAAGTCATTCAAGACAGGTTCATTGTCCACGAGAAGCACTATCGGGCACTTCGTGAAGGACTGGCAAAAACTGTCATCAGTGGAAATATCCAAGACATTGTAACAGCTATCACGGTTTGTATTTAATGTTAATCAGAGTTTCATAAGATTTGTTATTACTGAAGCGGAAAAAAATAATGTTTTGTCTTTTTGTGTAGGAAATCGAAGAACAAGGTGTCAACATAGACATCCTTCTTCTCTTGGCATTGTACCGTGAAATAACTTTGGCAAATACGTCTTTAGTTCAGAGTCCAAAGTCCGAGGAGGTAGGGAAACTGTCGATATCACTGAAAATAGGGTTACAGTACGTCAACGTAGTAAATGGTTTGATCCCAGGAGTTTCAGTAGTTTGTCTTACGTGATCGTCCGGGCGCGGGTTATTCTGAAAAGAACTGTTGTTGGTGACTGACGTTTCGACAAACTGAGCGGAAGTCATCTTCAGAATCAAGTGAATAGTGTTTGTCAGTCATTAACAACAGTTCGTTTCAGAACTACCCTCACCCGGACGATCACACAAGACAAAGTGCGTCAATGACTTATAAGTTTTGTTGTTAATCTTTGGATATCTACCGTTCCGCTTGATTTCTTTCATCTATGCAACATGTTTTATAAACATATGCGTAAGATTACTCTTTCGTTGTTCTTTTGTTGTCTGGTAACTGGGTAATACTCTTTAAATACAGTAAGACACCACTTTGGTCATGCATGATTTTGTATTTTAACGGAAGACTAGATAAGGTTTTTTTATCGACTTCTGATTATCTTAATGTTTATTTCCATTCCAGGCCAAGAAAAATCTGGATGATTTCATCAAAAACGAAGGACATGTTTCCGTGACGGTATTATATAAGCAACCTAGTCTACGTTGCTTCCTTACATTCCTGAAGATAGCTTAATTATTGAATGTTTAACTTTATTGGTCGATTGGATTTTATGATAAACAAATTATCTGTCATTGAAGCTGTAAGCTTTCCTACTGGTTTCTGATCAAGGAAGACACAAAGAAACGCTTTAAATGAAAAATGAACTGTAGTACATTACATCTTGTCGCCATTATAACGGTTCGGATATATTATTATAATATTCGTTCTCTTCTTATCTCTTGTGAGGACTTAACAAGCAGCAAATCTTATTTCGTAGATGGACGTGCGTGCAGTTCGTTTACAATTTTGTTCTGGTCCTGATAAGACATTTTCCTCAAAACATGGCTGAAATCCGTCTAAATTCAACGTAGGGAGCATTTCTTTTTCTTTTTTTTTTATGTATAAAACGACACGAAACATAGAGAAGTGACTGAACGAAGACGGCAAAGAGACATTTCGTGATGATCAGAAAGCGACACAGTTTCGTTCAGAAATTCAAACTCGGCGCTGTACGGTTCACTGACATTTGTTATTTATTTCCCACTATCCAACGCGGACAAATAGAACAAAGCGTGTGGACCATACCTAAGTTATTATTAATTAAATAAGCATGAGTGGAACAACAAAATGTGATGTTCATAGATGAGGACCCCTGTTTCAAGCTGGGGGGTGGAACTAGTGATCTGTGATTTATTTATTTTTTTAATGCACCAGCGATGACTGCTTTTAACTAGCTAAGTGTTTTCCTCGCTAATAACAGCTTTTCAACACCGTAATCTAGTCTGTGCGGGTGAGTGTTATTTTGCCAACCTTTTGTTGATGTTGATTCTTCTAAGGCTCAACCTTTTGCCAGACAACTTCTAGAAAATAGCCAAGGAGGCCAATTTAAGGAACTTCAAGTTTTTCGCGGAAAGAGCCCGCAAGAACACACCTTAGCTGAAATTGTCATCCACATGTCAGCAGCCTTACAGTGCGTTGGTTCAGGCTCATTGGCTCAACCTCTTTACAAGCTATTGACAAATCCATCCGCGATGCAGGTAAGTGTAATTGAATTACATAACTCAAACAAACCCCCACATTATGAAGGGCAACTTAATATGACTTTCGCTGCCGCGTTCATTCACAAACAAGTTTAAAGTAAACTCGTTAATGATGCGCTAAATTTCATTGAAAAAACTGATTATAGATGGAAGGTAATAAATCGAGAGGAAAATAAAGAGATGAAATCGGGTTTTCTTTTGAAATTCGCAGCAGCTAAAACTGATGAAATAAACTTTATTTTCTTTGTCTTTTTGAACCATACAGACTTCCTTCCTACCAACCATGCCCGAGGACAACTTTCTCGAGTGTATCAATGTCATTGCCGAGACTATGAAAGGAACTCGTTGGGTCGGAGAGTGGTATGGTGAGTGTTTCAGAGTGTAGTCGACCTTTTTGCCGTATGGAAAAATATAGGCGATTCTAGTGATTTGAATAAGTTCGTTAACCCTTAGGGAGAAAACGGACCGAACTGCAAAAGATGATTCTCGTATTTCACTTGTGCTTAAATTATCATTGGTAGCAAGAATAAAAATGTAATTGAAATAGTAGCTATGGTATTAGTGTACTTTAGCCTCCTTTTGTCCTTATACGCAAATTTGAGTGGACTATATATTATCTGACAACGCAGAATTTTGCTTAATTACCTTAGCAATCATTTTTATCAGTAGTTTTTCTTGTCATTGCATTTCCAAACTTTTATTGACAAGTGATTCAACTAATCAGCCCATAACAAACAACACTGAATGTACTGTGCTACAAATCTAGTAATTTACGCAGTCTTTCTAACACCTCCAGTTACAGGTGTGTCGAAATCTTTACACATTTTCTCTTACCTTTTCAGAGTGCGGAAATTGTAGACATCCGTATTTTATTGGGGAGGTTAGTGCGTGTTATTCAGAAACTACACGTGCCTTGTCTTATTATTTTACAAATTTTTGTGCTTTATGATCATCTTTTGTTAATTCAGTTATCGCTTTTTTCCGTATTAGTGTCAACAGCCGATGCAGAAGGGTACGTGTCCCGACTGCGGAAAGGTAATGGGAGGAGAGCAACACAAGTTCCTAGGAGAGTACAAGGTTTCCGATAGGTAGCGTGACACATTTCTATTCTCAGCGATTCGATAACCAAGAAACTACCTGAGGATTGCTTTCAAGTACAAAAGCAATACTTTGGCTTCTTTCAGTTTAAAGTATAACAGAACTAAATTGCATGTATGACCCATTTCAGTAGAACTGACTGCCACGTTTAGGATGATTGTAATATTTTTATTGTTTAATTTCTAGAAACGATAGAACGAAGACCGGCCACGCGCTTGGACATCCTGGTTCGAGACCTACTTGTGCTGAGCCGCAGAGAAAGATGTCACCGATAGTGTGCGGTCTCCTGCGAAT